GGGCTCCCGGCTCCGCGCGGCCCCGCCCGCCGGCAGGAGGCGGCGGGGAGCCCCGGCCGGGGGCGGGGAGCGCGGATCGCCCCGGCTCCCACGCAGAGCCCCCTCTCCCCGGGGCTTGCCGTGGCGGGGTGTTCTTTTGTCCCCGCGTTCGTGCGTCCCGAGCAGCGGCGGGGCCGGGGGCTCCAGCAGTGCGGGCGGCCGTGTCCTCCCATCCCCCAGGGCTCCGCTGGACGCGGCGGGGAGCGGAGCGGGACCCGCACCCGCAGGGAACGCCGGCTCCCCGCGTCCCCCATCCCGCAGCGCCGGGGCACGGGCGGCCGGCGGCGGCTCCGCCGAGCGCGGAGCCCCGAGCGCTGCCCGAGGCGGGGACCGCGGCAGAGCTGTCCCCTCTGTCGCCAGCCCGAGCCACCGGCCGCCCCCAGCCCCGCTCCCCGTCCCATCGCGGCGCGAACAAAGAGCCGCGGCGCGTTGCGGTGGCTGGGCTTTATCCGGGCGCTGGGCTTTATCCGGGCGCTGGGGATGCCAGGTCGAGACAACCAGCGGTCCGCCGGCTCTGGGCTCTCCCGAACGTCTCGACGGCGAGTCGTCTCCAGCTGCCTTAGAAATTGTTTGGAATATCTCGGTTGGGAATACTTACTCTGGAATTTATCTCGGTGTTAGTTACGAGGTCACTTTGAATATGTCAAATCTTTTTCCTAAAAGCATCAGAGGGTGCAGTCCCCCATTACATTTAGAACAGCGTTTATCCTACACTGCATATAGATAAATGGATTAAGGCAAGAACCGGCTGGTTTGTCTGGGTACATTACACAGCTACGAGAAGCTTTTTCCATGGCTAAGAACAGAAAGCTTCACTGACCTCTGAAAAAATTTTAGTTCATACAAAGAAAGCTTCGATTCCCTGTCTAGTCCCAAAAATGTATCAGGTTTCCCGTTCTCCACAACCTTAATTGTAATTAGTTAGTGAGCAGATGGGATGAGGCACTTCCCATGCACGAGCTTTCCACTTCCACAAAATTAGTTTATCAAGCACTGCCTAAATGTCGCTTTGCATCACGGAGCCCGTGATGAGCCCCTGCTGTACACGTGTCGCAGGACCGCGGTGCGGATGCTCGCACCCCGCACCTATTTTAACAGGTTTGGCGGTGCACGCTTGCACAGCGACGTGTAGCAACTGGAATGAGCCTCAGCAAACCACGGGTCAGCAACAACCACCCCTACAGAACCCATCTGCGACTTGCTAAGGACAGCAAGACTTGCTTTATGGGAGCAGAAACGCCTGTCCTTCCTCATGAGCTACCAGCTAATTTTAGTTTCTAAATTGTTACTGGTTTTCCAGACACTGCTGCTTCACATTGACATGATCAATTTTTTGTGGTGGTGGCTCCTGTAAGCTCTTGATGCCTGTCTGCTAGCCCGGCGGTCCAAGCACTGGCAAATGCAGTTTTTCAGGTTCCATCCGCTGCGAGGTTTTGCTGGCTGCAGTGGGTGCAGTGGGCTGAATACATCCTGCACTGCAAACAGCGTGGAAATATCGAGGAGGGAATTTACCTGGACCATTTTAGTTAAGATAAAATTCTCCCTAACAGCAGGAAGTATTTACGGGTTAAGCGTGGCTAACGTGAAAGGGGGGTCCTGCAGAGAGCTACACCTCCCCTGATGCTCAGCACACGGCCGTCAGTCTTTCAAAATGTTTTACCGAAGTGAAAAATATGTGGGTGATAGAAAAAAATTTAAAAAAAAGAAGAAGAAAAAAAAGGAGAAAAATACAATCATATCAACGATTTAAGGTTTACAACTTTCAAAAGATTTTTCGGTGTTTCTAAATACATGTCTTTTCTCTGCTATCTTGGCTAGCGAGGGCCGTATCTTGTCATCGATGGTAAATCAATGGCACAGCCTGACCTTTAAGAGGGTTGTATCCCTTATTCAAACCAGGCGGGTTGAACAGGACGATCTGTGAAATACAGCTTCGCTGGGGAAGGGGCATTTTTAATACGGATCCTGTTTTCTCTAAACTGTAAATAGATCCTCTCAGAGCTGGCAGAGGTCGGGCTGGAAGGCAGCCGCATTTCACGCGACCAGAGCGCTCGCTGGAATCGGCTCCCGGGCTCGGAGACGGCGGAGGTGCCAGCTTCTAATTGACACGTTTAGGCGAAGCTCCCAGAGTAATTGCTTTTAACATTCATTTATGCAAAGCGGCTTCGCGCGGGCAGGGCGAGCCCGGAGCGGCCGCGCCGCCTGCCAGCCGGGAACGGGCCTGGAGCACGTCCCGCCCGGGGCGGCGGGACCGCAGGGCACCGCTCCCGTGCCCGCCTGGCTGCGCCCGGCTCCCCGCGCCGGCAGCGACCACAGCAATCCTCCTGGCAAGCGGCGCTCGTCCCCGAGTCTCGGCTCCCGCCCGGGCTGTCCGCCGGCGATCGCTCGAGCGCTGGAGCGCCGTGAGCGGCTCCCGGAGCAAAGCCCAGTCGCCCCGCAGCACCGCTCGTTGTCCCGGAGCAGCTCGAAGATCGTGTTTTCCTTCGCACCTCCCGCCGCGGGCGCAGGGGGTGCAGAAACTCCGCAGCGCTCGGGTCCCCGTCAGCCTCAGCACAGAGCCCGCCGCTGGCAGCCCCCGCACCGCCGCACTCAGGAGCAGGTCTCGGTGTCCCGCCAGCCTCGCCCCACCGGCGGGCACGGCCGTGTGGCCCCGCAGGAGCCGGGACGCCGTGGGCAGGGCTCCGGGCTCAGCGCTGAGCGCTCGGGGCGGGCCCCGCCGCGCTGCGCTCCCCGGCGGGGCCCCCCTGGCCGGCTCCACGCGGCGCCTGCCGGGCCCCGGCGCTAATCTCGCACCCTCCCCCGGCGCGCACGCACAAAACGACGGCCGGCGGCGGGGGCGGCGCCGGGCCCAAAAGGGGAACCCGTCCCTGGGTGGGCTCGAACCACCAACCTTTCGGTTAACAGCCGAACGCGCTAACCGATTGCGCCACAGAGACTCCGGTAGCACAGGGCCTGCCCTGCTCACCAAGTGCTGCGGCACCGCCCCCCCGGGTCCCTGAGCCCTCCTCGCCCCCGCTCCGGCCACCGCGGGCACACCGAGAATCCTGAACGCGAGCCCCGCCACACGCCAGAAAACACTGAGGAAACAGCGAAAACAGCTCAAAACAGCGGCTTTTCTTCACCTGCTCAAGGAGAAACCCTCATTCTCAAAATCTTTGTTCGCGGCAATGCTCTTTATTTTAGGGAATAAATTAGTGAATCAAGAGTTAAAACTGCTTCTTCTTGGATGCTGCTAACTGATGGGTTACATATGTAAACTAAAATATAATTTCAAAATATCATGGTAAAATTGCTCTATTAATATATTTAGAAGGCAGTTTGAAGTGACTGCAGGGAACAGTTAGACTCTCTAAAACAGGCAGCAGTGCTCTGTGCGTGCAGGTTAAGTGTATTTACAGTTCTAACTACTGGAAACAGTCGTGAAGAAAAGCTAACATTCCTATTTATTATTCTATCAAAATCTTCTTCCCAGAGTACCTTACAGTAAATCCATACCCACAGCTCTGCAACTACAAAGTTTCACATCTGAGCCTGAGCAATTGTTTCACCTTTGCTTCCACAGACTGATGCTGTTTGAATCTCTTTGAACTCTTACAATATTGTCAGCTTCATGTTGTGCCCACGTCTCCCTGAAGCTCTGCCTGATAGCTCTTTTGCCCATTAAAATCCTCAGAGTTGAGCAGGCACATGGCACTCACAGCACCAGCACAGGCACTGACTGCTTTCCAAGCAGGGCTGGTTATCTCCTGGTATCCATCCATCCACAGCCAAGAAGTTCCAGCTCACTCCTGAAACCAGAGACTCATATTTTGCACAATGCTGCCCATCAACACGGTTTGATTCATTCCTCATCCCAGTGAGTAACTTTGTACTGATCATTTACTGAACACAGCTCAACCTTTCCAGTTTTCCCAATACTTTGAAAGGACCTACATAAATGCCAGCATTATCTCAGGATGGCTCATTTTCTTTTATTGTGCATTTTTGGTACCTTACTGACTGACACATTTTAAAACCTGGAAGAGAAATACCAGATATGCAAGTCCTAAAGAGTAATTGAAATAATTAGTTTGAAGGTTGCTTTTTGGGACACCATGCCTGCTGCTGCAGAAGAATCAGTTCACAGGCTGGACCACTTCTGTCTGCTCTGTGTAGGAGGAGAAGAAAACTGTCCTGTGACTTTATGCACAAGCCAATGGGTATTTGGCTCGTGGAATTTTTAGTGGAATGAACTAGAATATTTAGTGAATGAACATTAATATTTAGTGTAATGAACAAGATTTCAGTCTGACTAAAGGCCTAACAGATCCACAGACCTGTAGATTGGGTGTGGATTTTGGGCCCTGAAATGTCTTACTTTATGCACATGAATATTCACATGAGTTTTAGTGAACGTAGGCTATTTTCAAACTCTGTCTAGAGGCCAGATCCACAAAGGATCTTTGCTATGCTGATATTGAACACAAGGTCTAACTCCAAGCTCTCTAACCTGGGGTAAGACATCCAAGGCTGCCTGCTCAATGCACTGTGACAGTGAGAGGAGCTGGGGCTACACAGCCACTTGGCACCTTTCTTCTCAGCAGTCCTCCTCCCTGAATCTCAGAATCTCTCATTTAAAGTCTTACAAGGTAAAAAAGAAAATAAAGAGAACATACACAGCTGTGAGTATTACCCCTTAAAGCTTGAAAAACCTACAGATCAGCAAAAGATCCAAACATGGGTGGCTTGGCTGGCTGTGGAAGCACTAAGCAGTGAGACGTCGTAGCAGAGGGCAGCATTATCCAGCACTGCTCTGCACATGGGAAAGATGCATCACCTGCTGCTGGGAGAAGGTTTCTGGCTGTATCTTTAGCAGTAAGGAAGAGCCCAAGTACTGTTTAAGGCATTCAGAAACCAGAAAGGGCTGCTACTTCAGAATAATCACCCTTCCTATCAGAGTTTTGTTCTTTATTTCTGGACAGCTCTGCTCCTTGATATGCTGTTTCTTGTGGATTATACTGGGAGGTGCTTAGCTCTTTGCAATATCTCATGTATATAATTTAAAAACTATTATTGCATTCACTACATATGATTCATATTATGGTTTAGAATTTTATAAAAGCGTAAATTTATAACAATATATTGCATTTTAATATATTAAAATAGAATACTATATAATGTGAACTAATTTATATTTTATATGTTTTTTTTAGTTCCTAAATCTGTGTGCTTAAATGTTCATTGCTATGACGTCTGTGACCTTCTTCAGATATAGTCTTTGGTTCTTAAATGTCAGAGAAAGTTACTGCAGGACAGAGGGTGAAACTGGTATTGTTTACAAGATTTATAAATATACCATATATTCATCTGCTGTTCAGAAAAAATAAATCTAGGTTTTCACCCAGAACAATTCCTAAAATCAAGTCCATAGGATATAGCAGAAACAAAATAATCTTTCCTCTTGTATCACAGAATTACTCTATTTCTACAATTTCTACATGGGAAAGAACCATTTTCCCCCAACAAGCACATGCGCCTACTTAATTTATTACCCTGTGTCAGTTTTGGTCAGCTATTTGCCAGTTCTCAAGTTACCACTCTGCCCAAACTACAAAAATTCATAGTCACAAAAAAAATTGTGTAACAGCTACTCAGTTTCTGCCCAAATGCATTTCTAATTCCTTACTTTGTAACAGAAATCTCTAGGTTACCATCCAAAGATTTCTTGTATTTTCCTCAGAAACATACGATTCTAATCCTTACAAGAACTGGGACATTAAGATAAATGGACAGATAATGCAATTCAACGTTGCTATTAGAGTTATTATGGGCAGAGAATAAGATTTCCATGACAAAAGATTTTTCTTTATGGAGCTGCAAGCATCAAACCATGAAAAAACATTATTCCTGAAGAAGGATTTAAAAGGTTGGAACAAGCAGATATCGACAATTTTTCTTGACCAATTGCAAGACTTCTGATCTTTTATTCCTTCAATAAAATGCATTTGTATGGGGATTTTTCAGTTGTTTATATACAAATTTGCTGCTTTCCAGATACAAAGATGGCTTATATTTCTTACAGACTTGGTCACTTAAACACTTCTATTCTTGGGTGTGTTAATAAAATCAGAGCAGTGTTACAACTGAGAGGACATGCCTCCAAATCTGATCAACTTACTCTAAAAGCAAAGAACAAGACCAAACAATCGTATTTTACTGAGCTATCTAGTTCACTTAGCCATGGCTTCTCTTCTGATACAAGTCACACAAAAAATGATGACTAGGTGAGAAAATCCAGAAATCTTGGGTTGTTGTCAGCTGCAGACTGTTGGGTTGACTAAGTCATCTATGCTCCCAACCTCCACGTTTACCAAAAGGAACAGGCACAGGCTGCTTGGTTCTAGATCACAGCATATGTAGCTGAACTTATGTTCAGGAGAGACAAAAAGTTTTTTCAGAGTGACTTGTGACAAAATTAGAACAGCCATTGCTATTATCAGTAATTTGAAATACAGACTGCGATTGTGGAAAAAGCCACCAAAACCCAAAAGTCCCCAACAACAACAAAACCAAACAAAACAAAAACAAACCCCAAACCAAATAGAGAAGGCTGCATTCAGAATTGATCTTCAGATCTCAACCTACATACTGTAAGAGGGATTTTATTTTGCCATTCCCTGCAACCTATCTGTTCTGGGTGACTACTGAAAAAAGTGCAATCATTGTGGCAGTCAGTTCAATAGCTTATGTACATAAACACACACACACAAACATAGCCAAAACCAAAAATAAAGCAAACCAAAAACCCCATATACAATGTAAAGTGAAAAGAAGAAAATTTTACTGGCATAAGAAATGAAAAGAGTAATAGTGATGTTTCCCACATAGCACTTATTTATCTCAAGCAGTTTTTATTATCATGTCAAGAAAGGGAGAACTTTCCTGTCCTTGCAGGTTTTTTGAACTGCTCATACTAGGAATGCCTAAGAGTTCTTAAAATAATAGTGAATATTATGAAAAGAAGAATGAGTCTTATGCAACTGAACTTTAATGT